GAGTTTGAATAGGATACTATCTTAATAAGGGGTAATGACCTAGGAGGGTAATAAGGTTTCAGTTTTCTCCACATTAGGTCCCTAAGGTTTTTATGAAAATGGAAAGAGAAAGTATTCACCATAAAGACAAAAGACAAGTTCTTGAACAAAATCTTCTTAGATGTTGATGAGGAAGAAGTTCCTAATATTTAGTAACTACCTCCTGTATACCATGTGCACAATTCTGAACAACAATGGGATCAAATGGCTCATATGCTAGGTATGAAATTCACGAATCCTAGTAAACTCAAAGATTGTATTAGAAACTATGATGTTAATAATGGTTAAAATTTGTCATATAAAAAGAATGATAAAGAGAGACTTCTAGTGAAGTGTTGCAAAGGTGAAGAACATACATGTAATTTTAGGCTGTGCGCTTCCTGGATGCAAGAGGAAAGGGCTTTTCAGATTAAGTCACTTAAACTAACTCATAATTATGGTAGAGCTTTTAGATTAGGCTTAGTAACTTACAATTTGATAGGGAAACAATATTTCAATGTATTTCTAGAAAACCCCAAGCTTAGTTTGAGGAAGATAAAAGCTCAAATTCCAAATACATACAAAATCATATGTTGAGAGAAAAACTTTGGGAGAAACACTTGAACAAATGTTACTACAAGATTATAGTTGCAGAATAAGTTAATATTAAAGGATCATAAAAGCTCAACAATAATAAGTTAGATTATTAGATAGTTAGTTGTCGAATTAAAAGTGTTGCAAAGTAAAGGAAATGTGAATGACACAAGTTATATAAAGTATACACCAAACTGATTCATAACGAGGTTTGCAATCAAACACAAGTTAGTATGTGTGATCAGCTTAAAGTGAAGAGGATCTTCGAAGATAGAGATTATCCGAATATTTTTGAGTGAAAGTTTAGAAAGATCAATAAGATATATGATGAGGAGAAGAGGTAAAAGATGTGTATTCAGAGGTGTAAGTTAAATGAAGATGAAGACTCTATTTATAGAGTCTGAAAAAGTTACATTGGAAATAAACAAGTATTAAATTTCTTTAAAGTGACCATGCAAGGTTCATTGGATATAGTAATGCATATTAGACAAGTCAGATGATGTAACTGAAATCTTCATGGCAGATGGGTAGTTACGGAAGACATCTTCAGATTGTGGTTGTGGTAGCATATAGATTGCGGTAGAAGGAACAAATTATGGTAGGAGAAGTGGCTGGGGATCGTCAAGTTTATGAGATTCACTTTATGTGTTCAAGAGAGTCACAAGGAGAATTCAATGTCTTGGCAAAGTCAAGTTTAAGAGAGTCACTTTGTTCAAAAAATACCATCCAAGTATTACATGTTCAAAAAACACCATCAAACTAAGATATATGTTCAAAAAACACCAACGAAGTACATATTCTGTTCAAAAAACACCATCTTTATGGTTTGGGGTAACTTACATGTTTAGCCCCTAACTTTTTTTCTTAACTCGGACGGTCCCTTGCGTTTATATTTATTTTTCCTTCAAACCATGATCGAGTTAAAAGACTAATATAGCCTTATTAGTTTCATTTAACATTTATTTTTATTACTTGTTAATTATTATACAATTGATATATTTATAATAAATAAATAACATAAATTGTATAAATAATTAATAAATAAGAAAAATAATGTTAAATGAAAGTAGTAAGGGTATATTAGTCTTTTAAATCGACCAGGGTCCAAATTCGAAGCAAATCTAAACTAAAGGGACAGTCCGAGTTAAGAAAAAAAAGTTAGGGACTAAATATGTAAGTTACCCCAAACCATAGAGATGGTGTTTTTTGAACAAAACATGTACTTCGTTGGTGCTCTTTGAGCATATGTCTTAGTTTGATGGTGTTTTTTGAACATGTAATACTTGAATGATTTTTTTTCGAACGAATTTGAAACTTCGATGGTCTCTTAAGTCATTTTCCCTTTAGAAATTTGATGAAAAGCCAACAAAACTTCCTAACTTTTCCAAGCCATTGAATTCTCCTTGTAATCTCAAACTTCATTTCTTAAGTTGTATGCTTAGATCTCTGAACCAAAGTTTGAGTTACTTCCAATTGTTTGTGGGTCAGCCGATGCATTGTAGTGATCAGAATGAAGTATTTGAGATCACTGATAGCTCTTTTATACACAACTCCTAGTTCAGGGAAGTTGGTTGCTTCTAAAGATCTTTCTTTATAACCTTTAGTAACAACTGGTGCAGGCTCGAGAGCTGGGAGATTGAATTTTTGGGCAAGCACATGATGAATGTACGTATAGATCTTGGCAAAGTCACATATCAATGACTTGAGAAATTCACAATC